GCCGGCTGGAAACACGTGTTTTCTCGTTAAAATGGTGAAAGAGCCCGTTGCCGAAAAGCTGGGCGTAAACCGCTGGAAAACTGCGCTTTTCGCTTTTTCGTGTGCGTGTTCCGTCGCGCCAGCTTTCTCGGTTGGCTATGCACACAAACGCATAAATCCCTAGCTGTGCTTTGTATGTGAAGTGAAGTTTGGGGTTTGCGGGCTTTTCCCGTGCCAGCTCCATAAAGTACTTGTGTGATTAGCGCTTTTTCGAGAAAAAAAAATCCATCCTGTTAAAGAGTAGAACTTCACTCATGCTGCATATGAGAGTGATGCATTGTTTAATTCATCTTCTGTTGATTCTGTTGAAAAGACTTGGTTCACAGCGGCTGGTTCCAGGATGGAAGCCTTGGCAGGGTCGTTTATGTCATTCTCATTTTAGAGTATCCCTGTGGAGTCTTCCACTTTTGCAGTTTACTGAGTAAACTCCTGCTTCTACTTACATGGTCAGAAGTTGGTTTTCTACTCCTTCCCCCTCCAGTTCTGGAAGTTCAGTATTACTGCTGTATTACTGGTTCCCAGTACTGAACATAGTTAATCGTTTTTTCTGGTCTTAACGTATTAAATGACGTTTTCCTTCAGAGATATTTGTGTTTAAGGTTTGATGAGTTCTACATTAATTATTACACTACTTAACAAGTCTGTAACATGCTTTATTACAGGTCTTGGATACAAAAGACCTGCAGGTATTTAAAGTGACCGTAAATGGACAGGATGCAAAATTTGGTTTTGGAGAAAAGGACATCCTCAAGGGGACACCCCTGGAAATCACGTTTCCTTTTGAACTAAGAAGGTACATGCTTTTGCCTGCTTCTTTAGGTGGTTTCCAAAACGCACTGGATGAGCTGGTTGTCTGCATGTAGGGCAGTTGTGTAAAGCTTGCAAAGGGACTTATAAATTAAGAGTATTGCATTTATTTGGTATGGTCTTGTAGGTGGATTTAATGTTTGGCGCTCATTAGACAGACAAAACTTTGGGAGTCCTTCTATCCATGTCCAGGTCTTATGTCCAAAACAACTTGCCCAAGTAAGTAGTGCAATTATGTATCAATGTATCACAATGTTTCCAGTGCATATCAGTAATAGTCTTCCTGCTTCAACTACATTAATTTTGTGTGTTCAGAATTGCTACAGTATGTACAGAGTTGCACACCCTGTTTCCTTTCTTTTGCACAAGAGCTGATCTGCATTTCCGTAGAATTGCAGGTTACTGCTATGATTAGATAGAAGCGTGTTTACAGATAGTGAAAGTCTTATTGCATTGACTACGTTAAGCCCAGGTCCCTAAAAACTGGAACGTGAGTTTTGGCTGCATGATGGAGAATGAACTAACCCATAATATACCTCTCAAATTGCACGAGTTAAAAAGTTGTTGCCCAATCACAATACATTTTTTGGCAATTTGCTCTGTATGTTGTAACTCCATCATATCTCATGTGCCAGAGCTGAAAGCTGTGATTGTTTAAGGAGGTTCCCTTGTTTGAATAAAATTGTATACTAAGCTGCTTCTTGCTGTTGAGTTTGTACAGGTAATAACCAGTTTTGAAAACAAATGTCTGGTTTCTTTTTTTTATTTTTTTTTAATTTGTTGTCTGAAGTAGTTTAGAAACCTGCCTAACGTGGAAGAGAATGTCATACAGTAGCTTCCCCTTCTGGGGAAAGACTTATGATCTGATGTGGAACTGAACAAATGAAGTACTTAAACAGGCCACAGCAGAAACACAGGCCTGTTTCTTTTCTTTGACTTTCAGCTTTTTTTTTTTTAATTATTGCTAGATTTCCTTGTAAGAAAAAAAAAAACTACAAAGAGGGAGTTGTGAGTTGTGATTGTAAGAATTTATAATTTTGTGTGAGATATAGTTCCCCATGTAAGTATCAATAAAACCGTGATAGGAAATGGTAGAAGTTACAACTGAAAATCTGACTGCTCAGTAACCAATGTGCCTAATGGTAACACGAATTATTTTTTCTTGTCAGATATGTACTTTGGAATAAGGGATATAAACCAGATATGTATACCTGGTCAGCTTATCTGCTGTCCTCTGATTAGCTGAAGTTTGTTCTGATTCATGGTTGGATTGTTAATTCAAGTGAGTTGCGTGTGCCAACTGGAACTTTCCAATAACAAAAGCAAGCACTTATGTGTGCTTTTGATGCCAGTGATGGTTTTGATATGTTTTTTAAAAATAAAGAATATGAATGTCTCTAGTTTGTGTTTGTTCTCTTGTTAGCAAGCTGATACCTGTCTTGCACAGAGCTGCTAGCTTTTACATTACACCAGTGCTTAAAGTCTGAATGAAATTTGAACATTTTTTTTTCTTATTAACCTTACTGTTAATAGGATTTTCCAGTAATTACTACTTTCAGTATTTTTTTTACCTGCTTAAGGATAGTATTTACAGATCACAGTATCAGCTGCAAAACCTGTGGGTTTTTTTAAATATTTACAGAATACACGAATACTGTGTTATTAAGGCATGTATGTTCTTCTGAAGACTTTATACACTTCTTTCTTTGCTTATCATGGTGGGTTTTTTATTCTTAGGTATACAATGTTAGATAGTTGTGACATAACTGGATGTATGTGGCTGTTCTGATAGTTCAAAGAAAAAGTCTGTATTTTCCTCTTCTTTCTTCAACACTTAAACTTTCTGGTCAGTAAAAATAATAATAGAAGTGCCTTTGGACCAGCTAATTTTTACTATCATAACTGAAAGGGAAAAGTTGTTTTTAATGTGCTACCTTTTCTTGATTTTAACACTTCTGAGACAGTGCTGCAGACCTGTTTTCCAGAAATCTTTGTAGGGGAATTTCAGTAGTGACCAGTTGTGTCAAAGCAGTCTGACTGTGTTCTTCCTTACACAGGGGACAAGAAGTAATTGTTGAAATCTCCTTTGAGAGCTCTCCAAAGTCTTCAGCTCTCCAGTGGTTTTCTCCAGAGCAAACTTCTGGGAAGAAACACCCATTTCTCTTCAGCCAGTGTCAGGTTGAGTGGATTTATTTATTTATTTATTTATTTATTTATTAAAATTCTAAACTTGTTGTTTACTTACCACAGTAATTCCCCCTGGTATCCAAAGAACTGGAGAGGAAGGCAAGTAGGGGAGAGTATAGTAGCCCATAATTTCTAATTGTGTGTGTCCAAGGTCCTAAATGAAAAGGCTCACTAAGTCAGGACATTGCTGAGATTTTATTATATGTTTGCAGTTTACTAATTCTAGAACT